TTATTGTTGTTGCTGTTGTCCATTGTTGTCATCTTTCTTTGTTGAAATCAGGTCTCTCTTGTAAATGAGTCCTCGAGGCTCAATGGGATTTACCTGTATAAATAAAGGTTGATTGATTTAGGGGAGGTGTGTGGCTGTGTGTAGGTGTGACAAAGGTCACAATCAGAAATTGGATTGCCACATTGAAATCCAAGATGGCTGCCGCTATATATGTATGTGTACATATGTGTGTGTGTATATATATATATATCTATACACACCCACAAACACACACACACGCACGCACACACACAAACACGCGTGCGTGTGTGTGTGTGTGTGTGTAAACTGGTATTACATTTTATAAAATGTTCCAACTATACAATAATAATTCCTGTCTGATTGAGATGGACGAACAGACGGACGCAGGGTACTGATGGACGTCCCCTCTACGCTCCACGATGGGGGACTCACAAGTAGAGCTTCAAATTTTGAGTTTTATTCTTAGAGTTTGAGAGATTGTGACTTTTTTGAACCAACATGAATGTTGGAGCTGCTCCACAATAAGCGTAAGATTTATTTTCTGCTTACATGTGAAAAAGAAAGTTTCAGAATTTTTATGTTCTTTGTCTGTTATGGATTTAAAAAAATAAGTTTCTCTTTCATTTAAGCAAGCTCACACTGTTAGCAATACCATGAGACTCAGTCACTTGTGATTGGCTGTTTTTATTTCTGGGTAAGGGTTCCTAAAATAGACCCGCCATCTCAATTCCTTAAGAATCCGTTTGTTCACAGCCCATTTCTTTTTCTCCTTTGGGGCTTGGAGCAACTTTTGAAGAGCTTGGCAGTGAACTTGACTTTGATATCAAAGCAAACCGCTCGTGTTTGACCGACGTTTCGTTCTTTGGGCTTGTTCTGGCCTTTTGTAGTCATCGTTCTGCTTGTTTCCTAATTGACGAGGAAAGTAGACCACAATGTTATGGATTGTGGGTATTATCTTCCGTCTAGCATCCCCTCAACGCAGCATACAACTCATTCCTCTCTGCGGTTGCAGGGCCTCGGATCTCATCTGGTTCCTGCAGCCCACAGAATCAGGTGGCCCTCAGCCATTCCAGCTGTCTGTCGGGTGTCGTGGCCAATCAGCATCAAGCAGGGGTGTAAGAGAATCACACATGCTACATTTGCCTTTAATTGAGGGGAAATCAGAGCAGAGCTGATTACCCCACACCCCCTAAGAAAAAAACATCTTCCCCAACACTTCTGTGTGTGTGTAATTAGCACAGCAAGTCTGCTAATTAGCTTGTTGCGTTGTCGACGCAGCATCCGGATGTGAGCGCTGGGCTTGGAGTTAGGTGGCTGGTTCTGGTGGGGGTGGGGGGGTGGAGGGGGGCACAGCAGATGGCTGTGTGTTGTCTCACAGGCACACAGTTGTGAAGAGGAGAGGCTGTGTCAGACGTTCCACTGCCAGGAGCCCCCCCAGTACCCCCCCATCCCTCCTCTGGCCCTGCAGCCACAGAAGCAGAGGTTAAGAATAGAGGAAGTCTTGTCACGTTGCATGTGGAGGCGCCCAGCGTTGTGGGAGTGGAGGGGCTGGGCGATACACACTGTAAACAGCCCTTGTGCATGTAGCCCCCACTCCCTCCAGTTATTAGTCCCTTTTGGTCACATTCTGTCACAGATCTGCACGGCTTGCAGTTGAGTTTTGGCCTCAAGTTGACATAATTCACCGAGGAGCCTATTATTAGGCCCCTTCACAGACGGAGAACATGCCAGGAAATTACACCACTAACTCTGTTATCATTGCAGATCCTCTGCAGTCAGATTTTCTTTTGTGTGTCTGGTCCAAAATGTTTTAATGAGATGACCGAGCGGCGGCGTGGAGCGCACTACATCTCAGACTCAGTGGTTAGGAGTAACATTGGAATATGTTCTGCTTTAAGGCTGACATCCTGATTCTGTAAACGCAGACAGAACCTGTCAAAGTCCTCCCTAGTTGGCCACTGCTGCAAAAAATTCCCTTATTTAAATCAAATCATTACAGGCGCTCCTACGTTGTGCTTACACGCCTGGAAACCAGCCCAACACACAGAACAAAAAACCTTCTCAGAGAGCCGCTTCCTCCTCCAAATGTTGAATTTAATTTGAAAGGAAAAGGTGATTCTGAGGGGGTCGAGATAAAAGGAGGAGAGAGCTGACAAGGACAGAGCACTTCAGAGCAATGGCAAAAGGTGGCACGAAAAGCACACACAGAGAAACACACAATGTTTCAGGGCACAACAGCTCCGGGTGAAGGTGTTCACTTCGTCAGGTGATGTGTTCATGCACAGCGACACTGAACCGTCACATTTTTCACTTTTCTTCCTCGCATCTACAGGAAGCTTTTACAAATGACTACACATTAAAATATCAATTTTTCCCACAATAAGCCAAACATTACTCCAAAAAAGAGCAACGATCTGCTCAACCACAGAGAGCTGCAAAGATTTTCACCCCTCTTGATATTCTGGGACAGTACAAATACCCAATACAAGTACCCAAATCGAGATGGTTGGCAGGTATGTGAGGTAAAACCACCCAGGATTGGCTTGGTCCATATTTGAGCTGGTGCTGGGTTACAGATTGGATTGTTTTTAACCCAACAGTTAGGATAAATGAGTACCTGACAAACTCTATACCTAAAATAATATTAACCTCCCAGGACCTGGTATCCACATATGCATGTCATGCAAGAGTTCAGGTCTTAGGAGGTTATAATAATAATGTTATAGTAAGACATCTTACAGCTGACTAGCCAGAGATTTTATACATTATTTAAAGAATCATCCTGCATTTTAACATAATAAACAGTAAATTATGTCTGTTAGTTCTTGTACACACTGTTCCAAAGCTGTGCTGCATTCATTTGAGACATGAACCATTTTGTTGTTCTGAACAAAACTGACAGTGACAAATTCTGCAGTTTGTAGTCATATTTAATTTATTTAATTTAAATGATGGTTTTACTAATATCACCTCAGACATTCATGTTCATATTCATGTGAATTATCTGAATAAGACATCAGATTTGTCCAGTTGTCCTCCAGAATGGAAGTCTTCAAGGCTTGACCTCCTGCTGGAAGCCACAGCTTCATGTCGTCGGGACAACAAAGACACAGTTACGCTTTCTTAGCGCAAACAAAAGCGTTTTGTTGGCTGCAGACTTCATCGTTGACGTAATCTTGTCCTGGAATCAATTAAAAATATTTAAACTTAAGAAATTTCAATCAAGTTTTCCCTTCAATTTTCTTTCATCTGTAATGAATAATTTAAAACAAAGCACAAACTGATATAAGTGTAGGCAACATTTTGTTCACAGGTGTCGTAAAGAATGACCAGATAACATCCTATAATATATTATTCCGGCTAAAGTGAGACAAATTAAACCTAATTCAGTCGTTCACACTGGCAACATCTGTTTAAAGAGCAGCTATCGTCTTGTGTACCATTCAGGTTGATATCCATGCAGTTCTCGTGCCCACCCAAGTTGTTTGGTTCCCCACTGGCCCAGTGAGTGTAGGAGAAGTCTGAGCCATCGCTCCACATCCAAAACCCTTCCTGTGAGAGGAAGTTTTCAAACGTCACTTCTTTTTTTTTAATGCTTATTCTGCAACGTTTTACAGAAAACTCCTTCTACTTGTTGGATTTCTACACAAAATCCTCACCTTTGCTGCATCGGTGCCTCCAACCCAAGATTTTGTGTTGGTTCCGGTCGCACTCACAATGACTCTCTGGATGAAGTCGTACTCGCCTTGGTTATGAAAGGAGGCCAGATGTGCACCAAGTTCATTGCAGTATTCCTGTGTGGAAAGATGGCGGCATAAACACATAATAACATCTTCATCACTGTGATGAGCTAGTTGTACACGAGGCAACTAACATGGTAGTAATAATCTATCTGTGAAGTATGATTAAAACTGGTCTTCATCGGTTTTTAGAACTAACCGTTTGGCAACTGATTCAAGCTAAAAATGTCACATCAAGGAACGCCCATGGCCGATGAACACATTACTGCCCTAGATCATCATCATCATCAACTTTATTTATAAAGCACTGTAACACAGCCACAGCTGAAACAAAGTGCTGAGCATCAGTTAAAAACAAGAAAAGAGAGCATAAATACAAAGCTACAAAACCAAGCACACAGCGAACTAAAAACTCATCTACAAGATCGTCTACAGGGGGTCTAAAACAGCGCTACGTAAAAATACGATTGGGTCCAACATAAGAAATGTTCTGTTTTGCATCAAAAAATAATTATCAAGAACAACATAAGTAACTGAAGATTTAACTTGTGACCAAGGAACATCTAGTCAAAATGATTATTGAAGGAACAGCCGTTCTTGATTTCCGTAAATCTGCTTCTCATTTGAGAAACGTTTGCAGAGTTTTAATGTTATAAACTTTAAATCTAGACCAGACATGGGCAATATATGGCCCGAGGGCCAAAAGTGGCCCTTGGACCATCTCTATTCGGCCCTCAATATTCTTAATTGAAATGAAAACAACTTTTAAATAAGTTGATGAAAACCTGCATTTTATCAATGAAACTTGAGAAAGTTTAAATTAAACATCTTGGACCATTACGTTTAAACCTTTGGATTAAGAAAGGCCTAAGACTTTTCCCTGAAGTCATGTTGTCAGAACTAGATTGAACCTTAAATTCTCCAAAACGCAAGTATATAGTGTTAAAACAAACAAACTAAAAAAACATATTTAAGCTAACAAATATATTGTCTCAAGAGTCGGTTTACAAAGAGTATGTTTTATATGCATAAAGTATCGAAGAGACATATTTTTATCAAGCATGCTAACTTTGCTACAAGATAAAGCCTAAAAAACTGTTACAGATTATCTGTCTTAAATAAATTTTATTTACTATTTTTCTATGTGATTGCTTTCAATACCTTGATTTGGCCCTCTGGTAAAAATATTGCCCTCCCCTGATCGAGACCACACAAATACAATGAACTGTGAAACAGTTGTACCTCAGCATCACCCCAGTCCTTTTCATCGCTTACGAACAGGAAACAGCGGCCTCCGTACCGAGTCCATAAAGGAGGGCAGAAGTTACATACTCCGAATTTACATGTAACTACACAAAGAGAAGAAAAAGGGATTTTTATTAAATATGATTGAAGAATCAATGACCAAAAAAAAATGCTTTTAATAATGTGTCACTATTATTGCATGAAATACAACCATTTATTTATTTGTTTATTTATTTATTTATTTATTTATTTATTTATTTATTTATTTATTTATTTATTTATTTATTTATTTATCTGAAGTTCATTTGGTGTGAGATATGAATTGTTAAAAACTCTCCACTTTTGGTTTTGGAGAGAAAATTCAGAGTTCAAATTTTATTGAATTTAATTTTAATTTAAAACTACAAGTGTACATTTTGATTTATCAACTGTAGAAGTGTACAATTTTAGGGACAAGAAAGTTGCTTTTCAAGGATTTTGTAAAGTTTTAAACAGCATAAAAGTTGAACATTCTGTGGAAAAATCTCCAAAAACATTAAAACTTAAACTGTGATTGTGAAAAACTGGTAAAAATCTTAACATGCCAGTTCGGACATATAAAGTCCAATTTCCCACTTTAAAGTCCAACACGGTGGTTTCCATTCTGAAGTTTGTCTGAGATCACCATGGCTGGATTTGATTTAGTCTCAGTCGTACAAATTATTTTCACCAAAAGTCCTTACAAGCTATTGAAAATGGAGCTGCACATCATGATTTATAGTTTACCTGGGTTTTTCTGAACTGAGGGAGGAAATGCAAACCAAAAATAAGACAAACTGAAGAATAAGTAATATATGCTAATAAGTTCTTCAGTGGTTCTACGTTGATGTCTCTATTGATTTTAATACAACAAACTTGGTTTAAAGAATATAATTGTGGAGCATTTTGTTAAATTCAATTCAATTCAGTTTATTTATGCAGCGCCAAGTCACAACAGAAGTCGTCTCAGGACACTGAACAGAAACATTCATATACCAAAAAAGTAAGTTAATAATATTATTTATCTGAGGAGCAGACTGCTTTAAGTTTAACTTCATCGCAGACTCGCATCTTGAGCAAGCATGAAGGCGACCGTGGAAAGGAAAAACTCATTCATGAGGAAGAAACCTCTAGCTCAGAACCAGGCTCAGGACAAGTGGCCATCTGCTTCGACTGGCTGGGTTTGAGAGGAACAGGAAGGAGGAACAGATACACAATGGCAGGTTGAGAACCACATGTTAAGATAGAAATAATTTCAAATGAAAACTATTCAGTTTTAAAACAACAAAGTCCATGCTCAATAATCCAGGTATACAATCCAACATTTTTCAGTCAGGTCATCTGGACAGTTTCTTTTTTTGTGCTGAAACATTTTGCCTTTGATCCGGAAGTCTTCATCAGTCAAGGAAACACACAACAAAACTGATTCTTCCCTCAACAGCTTACTCCAAAGTGGAACAAACCAGTTCTGCTTGTGATAAGATGGTCTCTTTGGTACGCCCCCTCCTCCATTGCCGGCCCTCTTCCTTGTTGACAAAGAATTTTGTTGCACAAAAAAAGAAACTGTCCAGATGACCTGACTGAAAAATGTTGGATTGTATACCTGGATTATTGAGCATGGACTTTGTTGTTTTCAACCAGTTTGACAAGACTGTCAGCAAGGAAGAGGGCCGGCAATGGAGGAGGGGGCGTACCAAAGAGACCATCTTATCACAAGCAGAACTGGTTTGTTCCACTTTGGAGTAAGCTGTTGGGGGAAGAATCAGTTTTGTTGTGTTTCCTTGACTGATGAAGACTTCTGGATGGAAGGCGAAACGTTTCAGCGCAAAAAAAGAAACTGTCCAGATGACCGGACTGAAAAATGTTGGATTCACTTTTAACAATTCATTTAAGGAAATGAGGTCAATTTGTCCTAGTCTAAGTCTATAGCAGCATAACAAGCCAACCCTAACTATAGGATTTATCAAAAAGGAAAGTCTTAAGCCCAGTCTTAAAACTGGACAATGTGTCAGCCTCACAGACAGAAACTGGAAGTTGGTTCCACAAGAGAGGAGCCTGATAACTGAAAGATCTTCCTCCCATTCTGCTTTTGGAAACTCTAGGAACTGCAAGTAAACCTGCAGCCTAAGAGCAAAGTGCTCTGTTAGGAAAATATGGAACAATAAGATATTTAACATAAGATGGAGCTAGGTTGTTGAGGGGTTTGTAGGTTAGAGGTAAGATTTTGAATTATTTTCTGGATTTGACAGGGAACCAGTGGAGAGAAGCTAAAACTGGAGAGATATGATCTCTCCTACTAACTCTGGTTAAGACTCTGGCAGCAGCATTTTGGATCAACTGAAGACTTTTTAAAGAATTATTTGGACATCCAGATAACAAACTGTTGCAATAGTCCATTCTTGACATAACAAATGCATGAACCAGTTTTAGTGCATCATTTTTAAACAAGGTTGTAAGCTCCATCATCCAGGTAGATGACAACAAAAAAGTTAAATCGTGTCATCTGGACCAGTTTCTTCAAGTGAGAAACGTTTTGTCCCCCATCTGAAGGACTTTGTCAGTCTGCAACCTGCCAACCAGATCTGTCCCATAGGTAGCCTTCATTGCTGTGTTTCAAGCCAACCTCCTCTTGGAATCTCAGAAGAAGGTTTTTAACACGTGCAGGCAGAGCACACCCATCCAAAACAATCAACCAATCAATTGTCAATCAATCAACGAACAATACATTTTTAAATAAGATGTTTCTAATGTTAGTGATATTACGCAGGTGGAAGAAGGCAGTTCTAGTAACATTTTTAATGTGGGGGAGAAAAGACATGTCCTGATCAAAAATAACACCAAGATTTTTAACATTAGAGCTGGAGGCCAGATTAATGCCATCTGAGGAGGGAGAAAGACTGAAAAAGTTATTCCTAAGGTGCTCAGGTCCAAAAAAACTCTCAATTTTGTGTGAGCTTAAAAGCAGATAATTAAAATTGTGTTCATCACAACAAACATTTTGTGCGTTCGTGGATGGCCTAACACAAAAAGCTTGTTGTTCAGAATGACTGGTGCACTGTTTTTGAAACTTAACCAGAACAAAATAAGAAAAACACCAACCTGGTTGTGCATCACACAGTATCTGTGGATGTAAAAAAGCACCGAGTCAGAAACAGCTTTCAACCTGTTTGTTGTGAACATGAATGTTGATCACACACACAACAAAATAGGAGTTCCAACAATATTTATGCAGAAAATTCCATTCAAATGAGTTTTGATTCACACTTGTTTTTCTAATCCATATTTCAAAGTTCCAATAATTTTTTCTCGCCATAACAAAGAAAAGAAATCCAAGAAAAGCAACACTAAAGTGTATTATATTATTTTATTTACTTAAAAAGGAATCTTTTTGTGAACTTACATTTCCTCCAATCCCCAATCCACTGAGGAGCAACAAGAAGAGCAGACCTGATGACATCTGTGAAAACAGAGTTAATTTACAGCTCAGACAGAACCTTAGAGTCAAAATATTTCAATCAGCAACATCAATAATTAATGAAACATGACTTAAAAGGATGCTCACTAAAATTATTATATGTCCTAATACAGTGGAAACAATAAATTTAGCTTTGTTGTTTTTTTAACATGAGCTTCATTTTAACACCAATGCTTTAAAATTAAAGTCTTGTTACCATTATAACACAACAGATAAATATAATCTGGCCTAGAATGCTATTTTCTTTCTGTATTGATGAAGAAAAACGGTCATATTTTACCTTGTTGTGATGTTTGATCCAAGCAGCAGCAGCAGCAGCAGCAGTAGCACTTGCTGAAAGAAGGATGCCTTCGAAAAGTGAACTCAGTGCTTTTATACCATTATGCTGTTGGTGAACCTGTCAGTCAACTGACGGCATGTAGTGAGATAAAGATTAATGCTGTAGGGGGGAATTTGTTTGTGATCACCACCCTCCCTCAGGTTGGGAGCTGCTGAGGTTTGAATCAGTAATGGGACTGATCGGGGTGCGTCAGGAGGAGTGTCCATACCATTTCTCTTCATTGGCATTGTTAAGGAACATCACATTTCCATTTTTGATTGCCTCTACTGACCCAGCAGGTCAGTGCAGGCTGATCAGATTAGAGCAGAATTCTTGGTTTGGTTTTCCATGAGAGTTTAGTTGAACTTTTCTGAGAAAGGGATCTTGATTTTGATCTGGATATTACAACAATTTGACCTGTTTGATTATTCTGGGCTGCTTTTCTTCTGTCTCTACAAAGCTAAGTATTTGTTGTTTTTAGTCTGCTTCAGGCAAAGAACCTCTTCTCTCCTAAAAGAACATAGCAGCACACGCATGGTCTGTGTGCCTGTGGTGCTGAGGCTGCTGCATATATAAGACCACTGGGAGTTGAGTAAACCTTTGCATTGACTAGATGCACTGATCTTTTGGACAAAAACATTCAGCATGAATGACCTATTTGTGTTTCAGATTTATTACAGAGGGAATATTGACATTGATGAAAAGAAAAATTGTGTTGAGGGAGAGAGAAATGGAACCACTAAACTATTTGTAAGAAGGTTAAGTCAGGTCCTCCGGACGGATTCTTCTTTGGTGAAACGTTTCGTCTTTTATACAAAAACCTTCTTCAGTCTGAGGAGCTGCAACAAACTCAAAACGTGTTCGTTTATTCTAAGAGGAAAAAAATATAACAAAGAAGTCCTGGCTACTTAAGTAAATTTATTTGACATTGGAGAAAGTTATGTACAGTATACATGGATCATTTCTGTTCAGGAAGCCGCAGTCCACAAGAGAGTGCTCGCTTGCAAAGTAACATTCCAACAGCGTTAAGTGCTCTGCTCTTGTCCATGCAAGTCTTATATAGATACAGATATGGAGTTAGATATACAGTGGTGCTTAAAAGTTTATGAATCCTTTAGAATTTTCTATATTTCTGCATAAATTTGGCCTAAAACATCATCAAATTTCCACACAAGTCCTAAAAGTAAATAAAGAGAACCCAGTTAAATAAATGAGATAAGAATATTATATTTGGACATTTATTTATTGAGGAAAATGATCCAATATTACAAATTTGTGAGAGGAAAAAGTATGTGAGCCTCTAGGATTAGCGTTTAATTTGAAGGTGAAATTAGAGTCAGGTGTTTTCGATCAATGGGATGATGATCAGGTGTGAGTGGACGCCCTGTTTGATTTAAAGAACAGGATCTATCAAAGTCTGCTCTTCACAACATGTTTCTGGAAGTGGATCATGGCAGGAACAAAGGAGATTTCTGAGGACCTCAGAAAAAGAGTTGTTGATGCTCATCAGGCTGGAAAATGTTACAAAACCATCTGTAAAGAGTTTGGACTCCACCAAATCCACAAGTCAGACAGATTGTGTACAAATGTACTAAATTCACGACCATTGTTACCCTCCCCAGGAGTGATCGACCAACAAAGATCACTCCAAGAACAAGATGTGTAACAGTCTGCGAGGTCACAAAGAAGCCCAGGGTAACTTCTAACAACTGAAGGCCTCTCTCACATTGACTGATGTTAATGTTCATGAGTCCACCATCAGGAGAACTCTGAACAACAATGGTGTTCATGGCAGGGTTGAAGGAGAAACCGCTGCTCTCCAAAAAGAACATTGCTGCTCGTCTGCAGTTTGCTGAAGATCATGTGGACAAGCCAGAAGTTTAGTGGAAGAATGTTTTGTGGACAGATGAGACCAAAATAAAACTTTTAGTTTAAATGAAAAGCATTATGTTTGGAGAAAGGAAAACTCTGCATTCATGCATAAGAACCTTATCCCATCTGTGAAACATGGTGGTGGTAGTGTCATGGTTTGGGCCTGTTCTGCTGCATCTGGGCCAGGACTGCTTGTCATCACTGATGGAACAATGAATTCTGAATTATATCAGAGAATTCTAAAGGAAAATGTCAGAACATCTGTCCATGAACTGAATCTCAAGAGAAGGTGGATCATGCAGCGACAATGACTCTAAACACACAAGTGGTTCTACCAAAGAATGGTTCAAGAAGAATAAAGTTCATGTTTTGGAATGGCCAAGTCAAAGTCCTGACCTTAATCCAATCCAGATGTTGCAGAAGGACCTGAGGCAGCAGTTAATGTGAAGAAACCACCAACATCCAGAGTTGAAGCTGTTCTATACAGAAGAATGGACTAAAATTCCTCCAAGCTGGTGAGCAGGACTGATCAAGTTACCAGAAATGGGGGGGGGTGTCACACCAGACACTGAAAGCAAAGGTTCACATACTTTTGACACTCACAAATCTGTAATATTGGATCATTTTCCTCAATAAATAAATGACCAAGTATAATATTTTTCTCTCATTTGTTTAACTGGGTTCTCTTTATCTACTTTTAGGACTTATTTTATGATTATTGTATTTACTTGAAAATGTATTTTTTTCAGCAGCACGGTGGAGCAACTGGTAGAGCTGCTGTCTCTCAGCGAGCAGGTCCTTGGTTAAAACCCCAGTCCAGGGGCCTTTCTGGGTGGAGTTTGCATGTTCTCTCTGTGCATGCGTGGGTTTTCTCTGGGTGCTCCGGTTTCCTCCCACAGACCAAAAACATGCATGTTAGGCTGATTGGTAACTCTAAATTGTCCCTAGGTGTGAGTGAGAGAGTGAATGGTTGTTTGTCTCGTTTGTCTCTATGTGGCCCTGTGATGGACTTGCGACCTGTCCAGGGTGTACCCCGCCCCTCGCACAGTGATTGCTGGACATGGGCACCAGCGACCCCCGTGACCAAAAATGGAATAAGCGGGTAAAGAAAATGGATGGATGGATGTATTTTTTTCTTCTTACAATTCCTCCGATATCCACACTGCAAAGAAGCAAGAAGAGCAGACCTGATGCCATCTGTGCAAACATTAGAGTTAATTTAAAGTTCAGACAGAACATTAGAGTCAAAATGATTCAATCTGCAATACCAATAACTAATAATTATTTTTTTATTAATGAACTACCACAAAAAGTTTAAAATGTCCTAATACAATGGAAACAATAAAATTATCTCATTTTTTTACAACTGTAACTTTGGCATGATATTCCTCCAACTTATAAATAGTCTCAGGCCTTCACTTTTTTTTCTTACGGTAATTAAAATATTCCATATTTTACCTTGTGATATTTGGTTCAAGCAGCAGCAGCACTCGCTGGAAAAATTATGCGTTTTAAACTAAACACAGTTTTTATACCTTTATTTTATCAGTGGACTTGTCAGATTACCATACCACACCAGCTTTGTTTATAGAGCACTTTAAACACCCATAGATGTTTAAAGCAGCCTCCTGACAACCAATCAGCTGAGTGTGCTGCCACACCTGAATCTGCATAAAAAAAGAGAGAGACTACACAGACTCTGGAGGCCAGGGGCCGTAACACTGAGGTAGCAACACTGGTTGGATTTTTCACTAAAGACTTCAGTTCATATCAGTCCATTAATCTGAGAAAGAGAGCTTGATAGTGATCTGGAGATTACAACATTGTCACATGTTTTATGTTTCTGGGACCCGTCTTCTGTCCACAGGTCATAACGGCTCTAATGATCAAAATCATCTTTGACTGTGATACATTTTTTGCAACCTGAATTTTAAATTTTCTGTCATCTAAAAATGTAATGACTGATGCCATATCTTGTTTGTTTTCCCCCATCGTGGAGTGAAGTGGGAACTTGGAAATACCCTCTGCCTGTTCATGTGTATCATGAGCTGGATAACTTGAAATGTAAGTGAGGTGCCGACTTCAATATTGGTGTCAGAGTCATAGAGATTTATTTGTCATACACACCACACGTGATCAGAATCAGAATAAGCTTTATTATCATTGCACCGAGATACAACGAGAACATGTACGTACAGTCGTCCAAAGAGGGACGGAGTGTATGAAGCTGCTACTATAAAAAGTGTGCCCCCCTTATTCTTATTTAGAATAATATTTTTGCTTATATAAGAAAAGGGAAGAAAACATGAGGAGAGATGGTATAAAAAAAGATCTCTCACACCGTGTCCTAGACAGGGCACGATTTGAGGCATCAAAAAAAACTACCACAGCAAAGCAACATAAATAGACGTGATACATGTAGGCTGGTGAAGACATTGAATTTTAAGGGAAAGTTGTAGCATAGTCCAGAGCCCCCCTCTCAGCCATGGTCTAGATAAGAGGTGTTATTTATCATCAGCTTGGTTGAGGTTCTGTCACATGTCCACGGCCTTGGGGAAGGGAGGGTGAGGAGACAGACAAAGTGTATTTGTTTTTCCTAAACATGCCAGGAGGAGTTGAGATAAGTCCGCCGTCAAGGCCACAGTTTGGGTCAGGCAGAACTCGTGAATTGTTGTTTCTGTCTTTTAAAGTCTCGCTGGTACATTTCTCTGATGGAAACTCCAAACAGCCGAATTGATTCCTCACGCCGAAAGTCGAGCTCACAGCTTCTCCAAGATTATTCCCACCGTTC